AGAACAGCAAGATGGTATTATTGAAAGGCTAGTCAATAAGACAGAATATCGAAAAATACTCGAGTTTCAAATTCAAGATACCATTGAAGGGATCTTATGTAATATTTATGAAAATATTATGTATCAGAATAATCTCTCATTTGCCACACCCACTCTGCAATATAGTATACCTAGCAAACACTCAGAAGCAAATTTACAACCAGTTGTTCTGGGTACAAATATTATCCCGAAAGTATCAGTTCCTAAAACAGATGTCATTTTGGTGTCCAAAGATATAGTGGATATTGTGCTTCATAACCTTACTTCTTTGGTTATGTTTGCCATAAAGGCCAATGATCCTGCTTCCTCAAGGTTGGACTTCTATGATATGTTTCCAAAATCTCAGTGCCAACAGCCTCTTTTTATAACACAAAGTACTGATGAACAACCAGGGCATTTTTCACATTCAAAAAATATGAATTTAGCTTATGCTGCTGTTTATCAGATGCCTGTGAAGAGAAATGAAGATACCAGGGAACCTGCAGCTGACCCGTGCGAGGAAAACGCCAACTTCATTACTAAAACTATTTTCAATCGGTTACAGTCTTTTGCCACAGAAAGAATAAATTCATTAATGACTCCAACCTTTAAGTCTAATAAAGAAAATGTATTTATTAGCCCAGAATTTGAAAATGGTAAACAAGATGACAGCATTTTTCAGGAGTCAGGCCAAGTTGAATCTGATGTGAATGTCCTAAAATTATCAACAACCAAAACAGGTCCTAGCCAAGAGCTTGCAAAACCCGTTTTTGCCAGTTGCAGAGAAAATCTTGGAACTACAGTCCATTTATCACAAACTAGTCTTAAGGACTATGCTGATTTCATTGCCAGTGCTATTTTGAAGCTTATTAAAAATGATTTAGACTTAGAAATACAAAGTGTGCACACATGTTCAAATAATATTTTATTTCAAAAAAATATTGTGAGTGAAATTGTTAATAGTATCTTAAATATTTTGCACCATAAAGGATCTGAAAAGGATTTTTTTTTATCCTCCCCAGAGAATTCTAGCTGTTCACAGTTAACCATATCAAATGAAGTTTTGCTGGGATATAAAGAGAGGGAAAAGCCTACCACATTATCACAGTTTACAAATGACCCTTTAGAAGAAAACCAGACAACACTGGAAAAGGAAAGCCAGAGAGTTGTTTTGGAAGAAATATTTTTGAAAAAAGGAGGATCAAAACCAAGAGAAAAAAACAAAATATTCAGTGCAGTAGAAGAGGTTTTGAAGAAGCTGAATCAAAATATAATGGAAATCATAGGCCACTTGCTCCCATTTAATGAGATTCCTTACATTGTGTCTAAATCTAAGAGTAAAACATCAGCTATAGCACGGAAGAAATTCTTTCAGTCTTATATTAATAACATATCAAATGATATACTTGAAAATATTTTGGGAGAAATGCACTCTGTGGTTGTGACATCTTTGTGCAAAAAAACTAAAAGCAGGAGAGAGGTAGAAATGTATGACAACAATGATACCTCATCAGTAAAACCATCATGCTTTAGAGAAAATAAGCCAGCAAGAAAACGAAGTAATCCCTCTAGACTTGGGGTACCACAAATGCATCATAATGCTGACAATTTAAATGCCCTTGTGTTAGAAAACACTTTTTTGCCTTATTCACCATTGCAGATTGGAAGATATTTAGTTCAAATGGTTCTTGATAAATTGTTAAATTTTGTTTCCCTTCATCTAGAAGAGAGATTTCCCCCTGAAGGTAGTTATGATGACATGTACCTTCTTAGACTACATAATTCTAAACTTAGCCCTAAGAATAGCCCTAGGCCAGGCTGTAAAACAAGTTTAAAAGCAAGATCAAAAATTACCTCTCTCTCTAAATTTAAAACAAAACCACATCTAGGCATTAGTGGTACTAAGTCCAAAAGCAAGACCAAGTTCGGTACTGGAGAGAAGATTTCAAGGGAGAACCGATCTAAAACTGCCATTGGGTTGCCACAAACTCTACCAAAAGAGGATGCCAAAACCCTACTGAAAACAAAACTGCCAGCTTCAGAATTAAGAATTTATGCCAAGAACATAATAACTGATATTTTAGAAATAATTGTGAAAGAACTTGAAAGAGTGGCACAAAATAGAGCCATGTTAAATACAAAAGCTTTGCCATCTGATCAAATCCTGGAAGCAAGTAAAATTGTTAATGCGGTGTTGCAAGAATTGTATGCTACAAACAACCACAATTTGGCTTCTCCAATTAATGTCTCAAATCTGGGTGATTTTCGTGTGTCAAAGCAGAATCTGGGTGCAGGTTCTCCTACTGAGCAGCAGGCATGTTTTTACTTAGAGAATGTTTCCTCACAGCTAGAACAGATTTTTCCTAAAGAAGGTATATTTAAAAAAATGTTTGACAAATGGCAAGCAGAAACAAGTGATACAGAAAATGAAAAGTCTAAACTTTTAACCGTAGCTGAAAGCATTTTGACTGAAATTTCAATTAAAGTGAAGGATTTGGAGTATTCACTTTCACTTTTAAATTTATCACCACTTGAAGATTGTGGAAACAGATTCTATGGTCGCTTTAAAGGTGGATCTACCAGAGCTGAGGATACGAAAGCACAGATCAATTTGTTTGGACGGGAAATTGTTGAAATGCTATTTGAAAAATTGCAGCTGTGCTTCTTGTCTCAGATGCCTATTCAAGATGGTAAGGGAATGCTAACAAATAGGAAAGAATATGTTGCTGCTAAAAGTAAGCATGGTGTTCCAAGCAAACACATCCTCAGTGGTGTGCAGACCTGTAATATGAAGACAAAAGTGTCCACGAGTCCTAGCAACCAAATCGTGCAGGAGATCGTACAAAGAGTCTTAAACATGTTAGAGTCATTTGTGGACTTGAAGTTTAAGCATATCTCTAAATATGAGTTTTCTGAAATAGTGAAAATGCCTATAGACAATCTCTTTCAAGTGCAACAGAGGCAATTAAGCAAAAAAATGTTGCCAAAGTTACAACCATTTAGAAAGTTTGGTGATGAACCCAAGTCAAGTACTAGTATATCCAAGGAAAACATACAGAGCACACTCCTACAGGTTCATTCATTCCATTCAGAATTACTTTCATATTCTGTCACTACTGTCAGTGACATGCTTAGCATAATCAAGAATAAGCTAGACAAAGAAATAAGCCAAATGGAACCATATCCAGTTAGCATACTGAAAGAGAATATTGCTGCAAGTGAGATCATTGGTAGACTGATAGATCAATGTACTCATTTCAGTGAGTCTTTGATCGCAAAGCTTCCAAACAAAAATTATTTCAAAAGAACTGAGAATGTTTACATTGTTAACCAGGTTGAATTTGCATCTCATGTGAAAATGCCTACATCAAAGATGAGAAACACTAGTGTGAGAAGTAATACTCCACAAAGGAGTGTATCTGGCTTGACATTTAATTCAGAGGATGATACAAAAGAAAAGTATGGGATCACATCCAATTCACCCTCACACATCAGTTCCTGCATCGAAAACAATATTACAAGCTCAGAGCCAATGGGAAGACCCAGTTCAAAAGCTATGCCATCATGTTCTGGAAACAAAGCACAAGATCAGAGTCAAAGGAAACCAAACTTTGGACTTTTTGAGGAAGCCAACAATTCTCTTCCTGAAGGCAGTATGCTACAAAAATTGTTTAAGAAAGCAAATGATTCCACAAAAGAATCACTGAAACAAGTCATGTCATTCATAGAAATGGGAAAAGGTGAAAATCCAAGAGTATTTCATTATGAGACCACCAAACCAATTGAGCCAAATGAAATTAAGACAAATGTTTCCCCACTCAAAATATGTTTAGCTGCAGATAATATTGTTAACACAGTACTATCAAGCTATGGCTTTCCCCATCAGCCACACCCGGACGAAAGCCTGGAGACCATGAAACCATTTTTTATGTCAAGGCAAAATCCTTTGTCTGTGGTAAATGGAGGAGAAAATAATGAGAAAAATTTGCTCAGAATGTGGTGTAAACGAATGACCTGTATAAATGAAGAACAAAGTGAAGGTCTTGAAGCCTTCCAAGAGGATTTTTCTTTATTACACAAATGGAAAAATAAAAACTCCAAAATGACAGCGGAGACTTTGGAAGAAACTGACACAATTGCCTTTGCTGATCATGAACTGGGTCCAAATGAAATGCATTTGTTGGCAAGACACATTACTACATCTGTGATCACACATTTGAAGAATGCCATAGCTGCAGGTAAGCAAGAGATAAGTTAGTTTTTAAGTTGGAATAATTTGGGGAAAACAGTAAAAGGTATATTTAAAAGATCTCTTGTCCAAGAGTCTACATTTTGTTTTATTTTTTCTGAAAATAGCTTTAGAAATGTGAATAACTATTTGATTATTTTTAAACTTCCATGATGCACAAAAATGTTACTAAGTTAACTGTTTTTGTATTAAGTAAAAAGATATGGGGTTTTTTCCCCTCTAGACCTATAGATAAGGGGAAAATGAAAAAAAAATAAAGTAAGGAACTTTGGTTGAACATGCACTGTGAATCAAAAAGTTCCAAATACCTGTGCATGTCTCTACTGCTGCAGTCTATCATTAACTTTCTGGAATTGATACACTTGTATTTTATTCAAGATGACAGAGTAACAAAAATCTTTAAACTTAGAAGTAAAATGCAGCATAGAATCAAATATATTGATTTAATGTCGTTTTAAATAATCATTTCACTGGAGTTATGGCAGGATGTTTCACCAAACCTGAACAATCTCTTCTCTTAGTGTCCATAACTATACAGTCAAGGTAGCCATCAACCTGTGACTTGTAGATTTGAATATGGAAGACCTGATTTCTCAACATATTGGCTAAGACTAAGATTTCACAATTGTGAAGTATTGAAGGAAAATCCTATTTCTTTTTTCATTGAGTTTTACCTTTTACTTTAGTAAGGAGCCTCACAGACAAAAATACATTGCCAATATGTTGAATTTCCCAAATTTCCTCTAATCCAATCTAAAAATGCTTGTTTCTTTCTTACATTTTTCTTTTAGTTTCGACTGAGGAGTTGTCTCACATTTCTTCACTCCCAAAGAAAAATTATGACTCAAAACAGCCTCTCAAAAGCATATATAGTAATTCTTCAATGTATCAGTTTTGTGAACATCTCTCTGAATCAGTCATCTGCTACTTAATTTCAAACATTTCTGATGGCACCAAAGAGGGTAGCAAAGACAAAGCATGGGAAATCCAAAAAGTAGTCTCTAACAAAAATATATCAATACATTCTCAAGTGTATAAGAGCAGGTCTACTTCCATTGGAGAACTCGCTTTAAGTATTTTTGAAGTTATTATTCAAATTCTTTCTAATGGTAACATTATATTTGCTGACAAGGTACATCAGACTGCCATAAAAACTAAGTACAAGTTCTGTCCAAGTGTGACTTCTTCTGACTTTGATGATATCTTTCAAGATCTCTTAAAAGGAGTGATTTTTGTATTGTCGGAAGTACTAGGAATAAATCATTTTGGAAATAATGTAAGAAACAAATCATATTCTACACTTAGAAATAGTGTGCCCATTTTCAACAAAGTCAATACCATGGAAAGTCAGATAGGCCCCAGGGACTGGAAATCATCTTCTCACCTAATTGATCCCCTTGCTCAAAGAAATAAATTAAATTACCTAGCACATAGGTTAAATGGTCTGGTTGGGAACTTAAAATCTCATGAATCCAAAGAAGTCATCAATGAAGTCTTTAATATTGTTTTAGATTTATTTTTACCAGATGACTTCCCAGATGGGGATATGTGTTCTGGTAAATCGGCAAGAACATTTTTCACCTCAAATAATCAACAAAGTGATAGAATACTTGCAAATAATCTAGGGCTTTCCCCTAAATCAATTTTTCTTCTCAATATTGTGTGTGAGAAACTTATTAGAACACTTCTAGAAAAATGCACGGGCACTGCATTTCTTGAGGATAGTTCTCTTTTTCGTGAAGTAGCAGAAGAATGTCAACATGTAAAATTACTTCGAAGTGTTCAAGGTGGAGATTTTGATTATTGTAAGGCACCAATGAACTGTGAACAATTTCAAGGAGATTACATGTCAGACCTTTCGGAAAATCTTGGAGACATGGATCAAGATTTATTATCATCAGACTGTATACTTGATGTTATGTCCCACAGCTTGGTTAAATCTTTGATGGATAAGCTATCTCATGGTTTTCAACAAGCTCCTTTTGAAAACAAATGCATGAACTACAGAACAAGAGAAACACAACCTTTTTCCCCAGAAGCCAAAAGGCGAGAATTAATAGAATTTGGACAAACTAATGCCCATGTAGGATTCATGAGCTATGACAATAATTATTTTACCAAGTCCTTGAATAATTCCAAAGCAACTAGCTTTAAAATGCAAACACCATTTGGCAAACAACATATAGTAAAACCTTTCTCTTTGCTGCTTCCTGAAAGACGAGAGACAAGGGGAATGAACACAGTAGTCTTTCATAAGCTATGTCCAGGAGGTGCAAATGGTGGTGTTTATTCAGCTACATTTTTGGAGGACATAATATCAGAATTATTTTTTAAGCTGTCTACTTCATTGTGGAGGAAAAATATAAACATCACTGAAACCTGGCTCAATGAGATAAATACATCACTTATCAACAATGTAGTGAATGACTTAAATAATGCTCAAATTAGTGTTCTAAGGTATCCTGAAGAAAGACTATATTTTCCATCAGCACATAAAGGATGTGTTACTAAGATTGTTGATTCCATTTATTGTGATGTTTTACAGAAGTATGAATTTAAAGTAACCTGTGGTGGTAATCTGCCATATGATAATACTTCAGTAGCTGAACAAATGTCTAATAGCATATTGTTCGAGGTTGTAGACTATCAGCTTCCGTCTTGCTTCAAGGGAAAGCTCAGGTCAAATTCATATCATACTCTCAATGCTGAAATCATCCTGTATAAACTTCAAAACAATCTAAGAAAATTTATTTCTGAACCCATATCTTCAAAAGGTTATAGCACCATGTTACCTCACTCATTTTTAGAATATGTCATCAGAAGACTTTTAGCTCAGCTTATGCCCCTGCCTATTAAGCCTTCATCTTTAGAAAAACAATATTTAATGACTTCAGATTTTGATGAAATGTCCAACTGTATAACAAATAAGGTTATGTCAGCCATTTCAAAACATAAAATCTGGTTCACCATCTATGATAATCAATGTCTCCACACAGATAAAAACCTTCAAAAGATGGTAGATTCTGTTTACAGTAATATTATACAAATGTCTGGTTCTCTTGATTTAATACAGAAGAATATAATCAACAGAAGTCCAATTATGATTGATCAAATAGCCAGTTTCATTATCCAAGAGATTATTGAGAACCACCTTCGACCATTTTTGTGTGGAGAGACTTTACCTCGCCCCAAAACTCCACTGGATGAGGTATCGTATATGGTCAAACAAGTTCTCAATGAAGTTGTAGAGTCTCACAAACTCCAGAAGCCATCACCTTTACACATTTACCCTGATAAATTTGTAGGAGAAATTGTTACCAGAGTTTTATCAAAGATTTTTAGCCCTAAGCCTAATACTAATGTTGAGCTGGAAAATATGACCCAAAAAATAATAAACTCAGTGAATAACCATCTAGACAAAACTAAGATTCCTATTCTATGTGATAAGCAATCGTCCTTTCCATTTAGTGATGCAGATATTGTAGATGAACTTGTCACCTCAGTATATAGAAATGTTTTGAAGCAGCATGGGCTAGATCCTGACATTGATGAGTCTGGAAATGGTGAAGCTTTTGTGGAAAATATTGCCAAATTAATCATAGCAGCTATTTCAGACTATCTTCTTCATCCACTGTTTTCTGGTGATTTGTCAGCTGCTCCCTGTTCTAATTCAATGGCTGCTGATATTGTTTATGATGTTCTTGGTAACATTGATAATTCTACTAAGTCAAAGCAGAGTTTACCTCCATATAATACATTGCTACCATATACATTTTTAGAAGATATGATCAGAGTACTATTATCTAAATTTTTTCCTTCTCCTAAAATGGTTTTAAATATAAGAGCTCCAAAAGACAAAGGGGTAAATTTTAATGAAATTGCTTCCAATCTGATCAGTGATATTAGAAGAAAAATTTCCCAACATGAAATTAGATTTTCAAAAGATGAAGATAAAGCCAAGTCTTTTTACTCAGAAGATGATGTTTGCCATCTTGTTGATTCTGTTTTCACAAATATTTTAGAAAACACCAGTTCTCAAGAATCAGTGGAACAAAATATCACAAAAACTAATGATGTTTTCATTGATAAAATGGCAGGTTTTATTATTAAATATATCTGTGAGCAGCATCTTCAGCCATTTGTGGAAAAAAGGCAAATATCTACATCACCATACAAATGTTTTGATGACAGACAGCCATTAATTTATGCTAGTGCTTATTCTTCAACTTTTTTGGAAGATGTAGTCTCTGGAGTAGTGAGCAAAATATTTCACAGGGTGATTGGCATTGTACAAGTGGAGTCAGCAAGAAATTCAGAAGATGTTTTGTTTGATAAAGCTGAAAATCTTATATATTGGATAACAGAGGAATTTTCAAAAGCCCAGGTTACATCTATAGAGAATGCTGAGAAACAGTTGTGTTTTTCCCCAGTAGAGAAAGATGTACTCAAAAACATTATTGACACTGTGTACAGCAAAGTTTTAGAAGAATATGAAATGAGAATCATGCCTGATAAAGATTTTCTCAATGACACAAAGGCATTGGCTGGCCAGATAACCAAAATCATTCTGACTGAAATTTTTGATTTCCAAATTCCACCAGCTCTTTTAGCAAATCTGCCTCTAAGTTTACATTCCAAACTTAGTCAAAATGTTTTGGTAAATAGAGTCCATTATGAAATTAGCAAGTCAAGATTCCGAAGACAAGCATCAACAATATATACTACTATGCTCTCACATATTCATTTAGAAAAAATAGCCACTCAGCTTATGTCTCAGATAAATCCATCACATTCCAGTGTAGAACATTCTGATACTCCACAATCAGAGTTAAGTAACACAGTCATGAAACTGATAAATGAAATCATGTCAATAATTTCAAAACATGCAATATGTATTGTAAAACATGGAAATGAAAAACAAAGTATGATTTCAGAAAAAGACATACAGTCAATGGTTGACTCCATTTATGCTGATCTTTCTCATTCAAATCTATACCAGCGTCTTACAAAGGATAAAAAAGGTATAAGTCGCATGCCTGTTTCAAAAATTGCAAGTTTTATAATAAAGGAGATCTTCAATCATCATCTAGAGTCATTCTTATCAGGAGATAAAAGTTTTCTTTCAGCTTCAGTTGCTCAACCTTGCAAGCAGAAGGCAACAAACCCTAAGCAAAGAGAACTGTCTTTCATTATGAACTCAGCTATCTTTTTGGAGGAAGTAATTTCTGAGCTTTTATGCAAAATTCTTCAGACATTCATACAGGATTCCTTGGCTGCTGAAACCCCAGAGAAAGCAATAGCCCAAATAATGGATATTGTTACAACATTAGTAAAATCAATTGTTTTAGAGTTCACTACATCTGAGATTTTACTTGCAGAAAATTTGGATGAGAGTCTATGGTTTTCAGAGACATATAAAGAAATGGTTCAAAAAACAGTCAACTCAGTTTATGAAAATATATTAGATGAATATAAATCACTGACTCAACTACACAGGACTGTACAAAACAACACTACTTGTTTTGGAGGGAAATTATATCATTTTCTACTGCAAGAAATTTATGATTATCAGGTACAGTCATTAGTTTTGGGTGAATTAATGCCTTCTTCTTATTCTTTCCCTCGAGCTGAAAATATCATCAAAAATGTGCTCAATGTCACCTTGAAGGATACCAGTGCCATGCCATCATGTATTACAGTGCTCCCCTGTTCTCTGATAGAAAATATGATTTACAAGCTTTTAGTAAATATCTTCCCTTCAGATGATACTACAGATAAACTAAAGGAAAAAGAGGTTGGGCCAGATGATGATGACGAGTTCATGGCTGCAGCTTCAAAGCTGACTGATGAAATTATAAAAGAAATTTCTGAACATGAGATCAGATTTGCCACTGCAGAGGAGAATGAAGATAGTATGCAATTAGGAACTACTGAGAATTTCATTGATTCTGTATGTAGTAATATTTTGAAAAACTCTGAATTCCAAGCAGAATTACAGAAAGATGCACACAAAAAGGGAGGTTCATTTCTCAGTAAAATAGCTGGTTTCATTATTAAAGCAATCATGGATCATCATTTGCAACCATTTTTATATGGTGAAGACTCTCCTTCTAGTAACTTACCTGAGTATGGCCATGCTTCTGTTGTTGCTAAGTCTGGGAAAGAAAAGGCACAGCCTTCTCTATTTTCAGCTGCATTTTTAGAAGATGTAATTGTTGACCTTGCTCACAAATTTTGTTCTTTTGCAACTCTTGCTAAAGATTCTATGAAAAAGGATATTCCAGAGCCAGAAATTGTAAGCTTAGCTATCAACTTTGCAAACTCTCTGATACAGGATTTTAGGAAAAGTAAAATCAAAGTTTTACCACATGCTGAAGAAATATTTTCTTTACCACCAATTGGGAAGGAGACAGTTGATGCGATATCTAATTTTGTATATGATCAGTTCATAGGGAAATTGGGATCTGATGGTATTCAAAAGGATGATACTGGTAACATTATTATAGAAATGGTTTCTTCTTTAGCCCAGAAGGCAATCTCTGCATTCAAGATTCAGCCACTATTTTCAGGAGACTGGTGCTCAACTTTCTTTTCATTTCTAGATGCAGAAAATATCACCCAAAGAGTTCAGCTCCTACCACAGCAAACCTCCATGCAGACTAGTAGACTCTTAAAGCAGAGCCAGCTTGCTCTGTCTGAAGACACATCAGTGAAAAAAGATGATATCCATCATCCAATAATTAACTCTATAGCTACCTTCATGAAAAGCAATATTATCAACCTGATGTCAGGAACAACTACAGGTGTCACAGATACTAAGAAAGATGATGATAATAAACTGAAATCTGCCACCTTAAAATATGAGAATGTCTCAAAGGTTACTTCTCCAACTACCAGTGTGAAAAGTAAAGATCCTCAGGTTCAACATTTGAGTGACAAATGTAAAAGTACTGAAACTGGGAAAGAGAACTTAGTTCTCATCAATGAGCAGGGGCAGACGATTGAAATATATACCCATTTTGCAGTTGCTACTGTTAATAACAGTTCTGAGGAGGTACTTGAATCAGATATCATAACAGACAATGAAAAGAAAATTGACAGTGCTAGTCAAAGTTTAGTGAAAATAGATGAGAAGCCCAAGAGTGAGAGTAAAGAGAACATAACAAAAAAAACTTTAAAAATAGCCCAACAGCCAGTCAAGGAAGAGAGGACACAGTCTGTAGCTGAAACAGATATAGATGAGGAACTATACACAGAAACTGAACGTGTTGAAAATGTCATTGAAAATATTTATGACAATGTTTTAACAATATCTTCTCAAGAGCCATTGGATTTTTCTAGACCAATATACAACAAAAGCCTCCAGAGTGATAAAGCTTCAGTTAAACTTCAAGATTCTGTACAGCCTGTTACAACAAAGGATTCATCCGCAACAGTTAATAGAGACATCACTGCTAAACAGAAAGCAAGTGAAGAAGCTGAAACTAAAAGAAAAGAAGAGAGTGAGATAAAAAGAGAGAAAGATATTAAAAGTCAGCCTAGTAAAACAGACCATCCACAGTCCTTATCAGAAAGTGAACCTAGAACTATTTCTGCTAAGTTTCTAGAAGATGTGATCATTGAAATGGTGAACAAACTAATATTTACATCTTCACCAGAAACAGAAACGTTCAATAGAACTCCAGATGCAAGTGGTGACCAAAATCAACGTGAACTTTATGACACAGCTTTGAAACTCATTGATTCAATGTTTAAGGAGTTTTCAGATCCAGAAACTAAGGTATTTAGGACAGATAAAGGTAATAAGATTTCCTCACAAGCAATCAAAGACTCATCAACTAATACGGTACCTCCTGGGCTTAAAGAAGCAACTACAGAAGAACCATCATCCAGCATGAATATTAAAAATGTGGATAAATTGCCACATGAGCATAAAACAGTTGAACAATCGTCTTCTGACAAGATACCCTCCATAAATAGAATGCTATCAATTGAAAAATCAGTTGTCAATAAAATTGTTCACTCTTGTGTTTGCGATGTTTTAAAGGAATGTACATCTCAAGAGTCTGTTTGCAAAACCATCAACAACAATAGGGAAAATCTTGCAAAAAGGCTAACTAGCACAGTGATAAATGAAATTTTTCAGCATCAGCTCAACTTGATATTTTCTGATGAGATACCAGCTTCAGGATGTGTGCCTCTGGAATCAAAAGATGTTGAGGAAAAGTTCCAAAAGGCAGTGCAAACAGCCAGTAAAGAATGTAACACAGCCAGTAAAGAATGTCAAACCTCGTCTCCATACACCATAAAGCTGCCTTTCAAATTTTTAGATGATGTGATTTCTGCTCTTTTAGCAAAAGTTTTTTCAAAACTATCCAATGCCAAAACAAAAATATCTCAACAGAATTTTTTGACACAACTTGACTTCCTTAAAATGAAGTTAGTTAGTGTGGTTGCAGCAGAGATTGCCAAAAATGAAGATTTGAATATACAGTATGTAGACTTTTTGCATCCAAATGATGATGAAATTATTCAGCTGGTGGTTCAGACAATTTATAATAATCTTTTGCCACAGTTTGGATCACAGGAAACCATACAAAATTGTGTAGTTAGTGGATGCAAATTCCTTTCAAAAACCATAGTTGATTTAGTTCTTCGAGAAGTGGCTGGCAATCAGTTGCAGAACTATTTTGGCGGTGAGTTGACTCCATATCAGTGTGCAGAAGTTGACAATGTTGTTGAAAATATCCTCACCAATGTTGTCTTAACTACTCCATCACAGCCACCACGTCCCCGTAAACTATCTTATAATATAATAGAAGCAATTGCTGTAAAATTCCTATCAAAACTTTTATCTGGCTTTCCAAAAGTGCATACAGAAAGAACTAAATCTCAAGAAACTGAAATGCAAAAAATAACCTCAAAAATATTAAAGTCAATCCAAGAATGTTTTTCTAAAAGTAAGATCAAAGTTGTACAACCTGCCAAGGAATCGGAACCTGTGCCTGTAGCTGACAATGCAACTATTGACAAAGTAGTTAATTCCGTTTATGGCAATCTTTTAAAACAATCTGGCTCTCCTACGTCTGTATTGGAAGATTTAATGGGTAAGAGTAATGACCTTTCTGACATAATAGGTTCGTCAATGGTGAAGGAGATTTCCAATTCTGAATTTCAACCTCAAGCAGAAGAAGAACTTTCAAGTTCAGAATTAGCTCTTGAAGCTGTCAAAATTATGGAAAAGGTGGTGAAAATTATTGATGAGCTAAAGTCACAGGAAAAATCTTCATCTGTAAAAGATTTAGTGTTAGACTCCAGAGTTTTAGAGGAAGCATTGGCCTTATTCTTGGCTAAACTAGTAAAGAAGCCTGGTATTGCAAGCAAAGATATGGACAGTTTAACAAAGCCTGAGTTAAATAAAATTGCATCTCAGTTGACAAAATCCATAACAGCTGAAATTTCCAGAAGTAATATAAATCTTGTGGATTCTAATCCTGAAGAACAATCTTTAGCTCCAGAAAACATTGAAATGATTTCTCAGGTTATTGAATCTGTTTATGATAATATAATAAACCAATCTGAAACCTGTAATGAGCCCTATGATATAAAAGGTACAAAGAAGGCCTTGCCTAAGAAAGTGGCTAGCTTAATTGTCAATGGTGTTTCAAATGTTCCACCATGTAGAGTTAACACAATGAGTTCTTATACTGCTGCTTTTGGAGATCTAGACACAAGTCGAATCATTGAAAAGGCACAAAAGCATGCTTCACAAATGAACTCTGACTCTGATAAAGAGTCAGATGATATATTGGAAGATGAACTTCCCATTAGAATAATTCCACATGTCGGGAATAAACCACTGAGAATAGATCCAAATATCATCTCAGAACACTTAGCAGTTATTTCTATGAAGACTCAGCCTCTGGAGACACTTAATACGGACTGCATAAAGAGAACTGGTTATAGCATAACAGAGCTGAGAAGAGCTTCCATAAGTGGAAAAGGTCACTCTTCCCCAGACGTGTCTGAACTAGGAGCAAGACAGAAAGAAAGGCGTATCTCATTGGATAGGACAGGACGACTGGATGTAAAACCCTTAGAGGTAAGCATCGTGACAATGGAGAAAAGGGGGAAAGCAGTGAGCCAGTTCTGTGATTTCCTTCCTTTCCTAGCTACATGCAAACATATGCTTGTTATTTTGCCAGCTAAACAGGCAATTGTTTGCAACGGTTCATCTCCATAGTCAGGATTTTCAGGGACTTGCCATATCATTTCCATGTTCCACACTAAAGGCCTAAGGCTAGTTTTTAATAAGATAATCCACTAAACCTATTTTTCATTGAACCAAAATGTAAGTATGGTTCCTGATTAACATCATAATGACTGGAATATAATTTCATTTAGAAATTTATAGGAACATGTATTAAACGCCATCTATTTAAGGCACTACAGTACTATTTTTCCCTCACTTTTATTTAAATTTTTCCATGTAATATATTTGAATCATATCCCTGCCCCAATTCATCTTGTGTCCTCCCCACCTCCCTATGCACCCTACTTCATATTCTTTCTCCCTCTCTCTTCTTTCTTAAAAAAAAGAAAAATATCAGAACAAAGATACAGAAAGGAAACAGAAAGACAAAACTTAACAAAACAAAACAACAAAAGACATGCAGAAATACATAAAGTTCAGTTTTTGTAGGCCAATTATTATTGGATTTGAGGCCTGCCCTGGAGTATGATTTATATACCTAGTGACATTATTTTAGCGAAAACTGATTTTCCCTTTCCCAGCATGTTATCAATTGCAAATAGTTTCTTGTTTAGGGGTGGTACTATGCATCTGCTTCCTCTTCTCACTGCTAGAATTTTGTTTGATTTGAATGTGTGCATGCTGTCACACTCTCTGTGAGTTCATATGTATAACAGACCTGCTGTGTTGTGTCTAGAAGATGCATTGCCTTGCAACCATCCACCACCTGTGGCTCTTAACAGTCTTTCCATCTGATTTCTTCAGAGATATTGGGCCTTAAGGTAGAGATTTGCTAAAGACATCCCTTTTAGTGCTGAGTGGTACAGAGTCTATTAGATTCTGCACATTTCTAGTTGTGGATCTCTGTGTTAATTACCAAAAAGATTATTTTCTAGTGAGGGGTGAATGAGGCACTGATTTATGGCTATATCAATATGTGATGAGAAATCATTTTATTGTTGTATTCCTTTATGAGAATTTCTGAATTCTGAATTAACTGTATTTTCCATAGGCCAATGATCTCTCTAGTCTCAGGTCATTAGCCACCTAAGCAATGTCAGATATAAGTTCTGTCTCATTTGATTGGGTTTACATCCAATCAAAAACTGGTTAATTACTGCTATAACCTTTTCCACTACTGCAACTGTATCTGTTGCAGTCAGTTCACTGTTGCAGTTTTCAGGGTTTGTAGCTGAATGATATTGATAACTCCTTTCCTCCTCTGGTAGCATGCAAAATGCCTTCCTATACCATGAAAGCTAGTCACTGGGGTAAAGATTCTAGTGAGGTACCAGCTCTATTTATCTGTGTTTGAAGACTTAAGTATGTGAAATATAGAGCAATAACATTTAGTGTCAAGTTGCAGAGGGTAACAAATAGACTTATCAATAGCCTGTAATATTTGAGGGGTTCTATAGGACCCCTTTGGTCAGCAGTTCAATAAAATGTAACCCATTCTTGGCACATGGGGGTCCTATTCAAATTCCTAATAATGAATTGTGCATTTTTTGTAGGATTTCTATTTTCATGGATATACTCTGTGCTATGGCACTGACTCAAGTATAAAACTATATTCTCTGGAAAATAAATACTTTAATTTTTTTCTAGTATGACTCTGAAAATTATTGTATTAAGTCTTAAGGCTGATAATAAAATAAGTTAATTAGTTATTGATTGATTGTTAAGTTAGAGACTAGGTCACTGTTTAGCCCAGGACAATCTGGAACTTACTACAAAGGCTGGTGATGTTTAGTTGTTTCTTCCAAAGTATAACATTGTCTTTTAGACAAAGACTCACTAAGACTCAAGAATAAAATACAACATACAAGTTTCAAGAAATTCCTAAGCCATATAAGATTCACAGGACTCTCCTCGAGGTCATTTCAGCAGTAATAACTACTAGAAAGTGGAAAGATGACTGGAAATTATACAGAGAGCTCAAGGGATGCAAAGTTAGTGAGCCATCATTCACATTTGGTTACGATTTTTACAGATAAAGCTACCTTTGAGCCATCTACCCTTCTAAAAGTAATCTCTCACTCATGTTCCTGTAAGTAACCTCAATAAACTCACTGATTCCTGTAAGACTAGTAAGATAAAGTTGGATAAAATTGTTTTCTGTCGTTGTTGATGTTGTTGTTGTTTGTTTTTTGGTCTATCCTTGAGTTCTGTCTGAGATGAACAGACATTTGTTCATGTATCCCCTAAAAAAGTTATCCAAGGATTTCTCTAGCTCCCTCTGACTATGATGCTTCTGCTTCTTGGTGCTAGAATTGCAGGTGCTTATGTTTTCAAACTGAAATACTAAAATTATTATGCATTTATACTCCTCTAATCTCTTTTATCGTTTTTTAAAGAACATATGATGCTCCTTGCCATCATAAAATTTCCTATCTTCTGAGTTCCCATTGCTATATTATCATATACTCTGTGTAGTATTCATTTATATATAAGCAATTCCCTGAGTGCAAAATTAGTATAAACATCCTATAAAATAATATTACTAAAATAAATTTTGCTTATCTATAAAACTATCCATAACAAATTCTTTTCCTGCTTACCAACTTTATTTAGGTCACAGTGAACTTTTAAAGACAAATATGATTTTCTTTTTGATGTGAAAAAATACATTTGATAATAATAATAGCAGTAGCGGTGATAACAACAAAAGTAACAATAAACAGTCAGCAGCCATGTGGAATTCAGAGAACATAAATATTACATGCCAATCTGATTATGACTATGTCTTTTGTCAACAAAAGGACAGAAAAAAGTCTATAGGTTAGGTCAGGTACGTCAGGCACTTGGCTTTGCCTCATGGCTTAATATTATGGTTAGGAATGCCATACTTTTCACCTAATAAGACATATTTAAATCACCTGCAGTCACAAATCCCCAAACTATATTGCATATATTTGTATTTTACTAATTTTTACATATAATAGATTGCTTTGAATTTTTCAAGAGTTGATTCTAAATAGATTATTCCACAGAAGATCTCTTTTGAAGACATTGTCACTTGAAAATGTAGTTTAGAAAGTTGCAAAGAAAGGTTGAGTTGAATATCAATTATAAATTCATTTATAATTTCTGTGATATAGCAAAGGCTATAGAAGTGGAGTGATCTGGTTACTGAATTATAATTATCCTTTCTTGGATTCTTCTGTATTAAAAATAGCAATTGGGATTTAAGTGGAATATGAAAAAAAATGAAGATTTATTTATTTTGGCAAAAGACAAAGAATAAAATTATAGAGTAAAAAAGTAAGCTGAAGATCACAATTCCAATGTGGATTGCTTTTATAAAGTCTTGCCTTTTCTTTAAAAATCAATGTCTAGATGTCTATAGGATCACTTACAAAGGACAAAAAAGTTAATTATGTAGTTCTATAACCATTTTTAAGAGAAATTACAAAAATGGAAGACAATAAGTTTAATTTATAAGAAAATATAAAACCTTAACTATTCTGTTAGGCTGGATATTTGGAATAAATTATGACAGATTAATATTATCTAAATGTAAAATAAATGCTAGATACAAATGAGTATTGCATAAGATTTTTGTCTATTTATTTCATTTAAAATATTGAAAATATACCAGTAAGTGGAATTTGAAGATATTAGCTAGATTGAAGTTAGAAATCATAAAAAAATAGCTATGACACAAAGTAATATTGGAAAAGATATTGACATATTTATTTTTAATATTTATTGTACTTCCATTTCCAGGCTGTCGGCAGGAATTCATTTCAAAATATAAGAAGACCTGACATCACCAAAGTAGAGCTTTTGAAAGATATTCATAACAAAAAAGATCTGATTGTTCGGTTAGTAGCTCATGATACTAGTCAAAAGGATTCAGAAAGTAGCTTCAGAGAGGACATCGTTTCTGATGAAGAGGAAATCGTTTTAGGAGAGGTTACTGGACATCAGTGCTTAGGAGGAATATATGGAGGTCATGGTGAAGAAGTTGTGAAAGCCTTAGAAACCAAAGTTGTTTCTCCAAAGACAACAATGAGCGCAAGCAGCTTGAGAAGGTTCTTAGCACTAAGCAAATGCTGTCAGCCCACTTCTGGTGAAAATATTGAAAGTATTGGATCATTTGGAAATCAGACTATGAAACTTAACAAGACACATGTTAAAAGAGCTGTTGCTGAGCTTGACATGCCCTCTTCCAAAAGCTTAGTAGAAGGACTATCTTCTAAGGACAAGTTACAATATAAGGTAGGTAACACACATAATTCCCAGAAGCTTGGAAGAGTAGCCAACCACAGACACTCTGTTCTGGAATTTACCTTGATTATTCAGCAAAGCATACTAGAGTCATCATCTGCATAAGCATATATATATATATATATATCCTATGATATATATATTTAACCTATGATATATATATCATAGGTTATATATGATATTATATATATCATATATAACCTATGATATATAGGTTATATAGGTTAATTTAACCTATGATATATATGTTATATCATATGATATATATATAATATATATCATAGGTTAAATTAACCAAGCATGAAACACAATTATGTATTTAATACAAAAAAAAAAACAACCCTAGAACTATTAGCTGAAGGGAAAATGAAAAATCAATACTGCTTAAGGAAATTTAACCTTATTTGTTAAACAAGAGATTCCATGTTGTATTTGGCTATAAATATTTGTTGAACATCCATAGAGAACTTCATGTCAATAGGATGGATCCAGGGGCCTGCTAAGTTATATGGAAGTTAGAAATGATCTATAGAAAGTGAGGTTGTTGTGTAACTTGTGTTAAGACCTAGGTCCAATCCACAGCACTGAAAACAAACAATAAAAAAAACACTATTTTGTCTGTGTTATTTTTAACTAAATCTCAAATGTTCAATTTTACCAATAAAGACTCAAGGGCCAGATGAAAGCCTACTAACTCAGAGAGGCAGCAAAAGCACCTGGCTAAGCCTCCTCCTCCTCTGATATCCCAGGAAAAGACCTTTGTCTTCCACCATCTCCAACAAAAACCTCAAACTCAGTGTCCCTCCCTTCTACTTCCTGTGCATCTCTCCATCCATCTTCCTGACTCCCTCTTACTCTCTATGGTTTAATCCTATCTTCACATCCTATCAACTGGTTGTTTTCTCTGCCTCTTGACCTATGGTTGACTTTATTTATCATGTTTACAATATTCAAGCAGAAAGCTCTTAGATTAAAGGTGTGTGCTAGGCCTGAGCCACACAACTAGAAACAGGTTTTCCAATAAATAATGCAATCTCAGTGTTCACAATGTGATCAAATGTCCTGCAAAATTTCCCTTTTTTTTTTTGTCTAAATAAATAGGAAAGGTTTTTGACTCTAATATATTAGAACTATTTGCAATAATGAAGCTATATCTGTCAAACTTTCCACCATGTCCAGCTAGGTTGTATTTGGCAGACTTAGGATTAAACATTTTTGTGTTCAAAGTTCTGTAAAATATTTGTCTCAGTATGGTATGAACTCAGTAATTTGAATGTCCTGAGCAATTTATAGTCTGAAGCTGATCTTTGGGTCACATTCTGGGACTCTGAGCTGGGATTTCAGGCCAGTGAGCTCGAAGTAGGTGATACCACTTGGCCAAATTTATCCTTTTCCTTGGGACATTTTCTCTTGATGATACATCCTTTTTCTTTAGATGCTTCACTTATCCAGTGGTCTCTGGATTCCTTAGTTGGATGTTTTTATTCTCCTGAAAGCATAAAATCAAAACCCTACCCCAACTCAAATGCTGAGAGTACTTTTTTTTTTTTTTTCAGGTTCTATCTTTCCCAGGGCAAAATGATTTTGGCAACAGAAAATGTATTATCTTTTAATTAAAATAATTATTTTGACATTTTGAAACTAAACATACCTCAGTATGTGTGGATAAATATACATATATCCCCCCCTTTTCTTTATACATAAATTCAATGTTTAAGTGTATTTAGTTTTAGATCACAAAGGACATTCACTTTGAATTTCAGCCTGCCTTTTGCAAGTGGCTTTTAAATTTAAATCACTATAATTCTTATGTGCCTGCCTCTCCCTCCCAAGAGCTGGGATTAAAGGTGTGAATCACCACCTGGGTATGGATTCCTTATAATAGCTATTGTCATACAGTTGTCTTGTTTTAATTTGGTTCTCCATTTCCCCCTATTACTTAGGGGTAAATTTCTAAGTTTTTCAAATATGTAATCCATAATTCTTGCTGATTTGTTCTGTATTTGTTCCCTGGCAGCTTTTAATATTCCAGTGATACCAAATTGTCCACTATTTCATTACTTTTAGATGTTTTGGCTAATTTGCGTATATGAACGACATAAAATTTGATGTCTTTGCTAAGTTTTTCCATGTTATACCATTTCCATTCACGACTCCTATGACTGGATATCTTTGTCATTTATCTGAGAGTTAGTGGTTTTCTATTTTGATAATCATATAGCTGTACCATTGCACATACACCATGAATTGGAGAAGATGGAGATTTTCCTTTTGCTTTCCTAGTATTTTGTCTTATAGCCAATAGTGCTGCACTGATTTTGTGGTTCCTTCCTCAGTATTGGCCATTCCATACCTGGTCTATAGGCTGCCACTTTCCAATAGTTTTTGGTCCATCAGTAGTTGAAAACTATCAGTAACCATGTGTTAGCCAAATGTGATCATTCTCTTGGTCCCCACAGTTCAATAGGTGCCACTTTTGGGGGAGGAGTGATAGGTTTAAGGATGAGGATATGGACAACTGAGCTATTTCCTCAGTGTGGGAAGGCACAGACCCCTTTGCTACCATACCCTGGTCGGAAAGGAATGCAAATAGGTACCAGTTCCATTGTAATACATTTCCTTACATAGCTAAGCCTGTGAAGGTCTCTGGCTTTAAATGGACCCAATTCATCATTGTAATGGCACCATTACGACCATAGGGTGGTTGGCATGATTGAGTATAAGGTTCTCCATACCTCATAAAAATGTCCAAATTTGTCTCTCAAACAAGATAACATTTATTCTCCTTAATGGAAAGTGTTTCCATTAGAAGCAAACAGGAAAAAGTTGATGGACACATTTTTGCTTTATGAAGAATCTCCAGTTGCCAATTCAATAATAAATATGATAATTAGAATATCAACTAGTTCAATACTGGTCAGGGTTGCATGCATGGAGAAGAGCTTACAGTTGCAAAAGCTGCTCTTTGTTCCTGTTCCCGTTTGAAATTAGATGCCTTTCTAGAAACCTCATAGTTTTCATAATATTCTGGAAACATGGTATGTGATTTCCATAGTGTGCAAACATACCAATTAGGAGCTGTCTATGAGTTTTTTCCCTGGGTGGTGAGATTAAAGGCATGTATCACCTTGTTCATTGTAACTCTAGAATTTAGAAAACAACTGATTTATAGAGATTCACTGGTCTATGCTGGAATTAAAGGTAGGGGCTACCACTGTGCCGCCCAAATATTTTATCTGAACTCCAAATCACTCCAACTCTTGGAGATTTAGAAAACAAGTTTGAACTGTAGGCCTGTAGATGCAATTCTAAACAGTCTTATTAAATAAGAAACACGGAGCCAAAAAAAGAGTTAAAGGCCCAAAAGGTCAAAGCACTAGCAAATAGCCTTTAGCTTACCAGCCGGTGCCACCCTTCCCTTGAGAAAGAAACCTGCTTCCTGTGTGTCTGTATTTTTTATTGACTTTCTGTTCTGCCTTCTCATTGGATCTAAACCCAACCACATGACTTCTTCATCACATTCCTGTCTATACAGACCTCCAGGTCTCTATGGCTGATACTTTGATTAAAAGCATGTGTCACCAAGCTGGCTATGTCCTTGAACACACAGACTCTGCCTGCCATGTAATTTGATTAAGGGTGTGTGCTACCACTGCCAGACTTCTGCTAAATGGCTTGCTTTAGCTCTGACCCCCAGGCAACTTTATTTATTAACATACAAATAAAATCACATTTCAGCACAAATAATATATCACCATAGGACCCCTTTGAATTTACTTACAATATTTTCAATCTCTTAACTGTATTTTTAATACCAAACAACAAAAATATCCTTTTTATTTAAGAAGATGATGTCCAAGATGGCATGGGCCATATAGCAATCTACAGTCTATATTCTAACATGGAATTAAGACATGTGGTTTAAGAAACCTATTTTTTTTTCATTTCATGCCAGTAAGGCAAGTGTAACATGAATTGCTAAGTGGTCTTATTAATAGAAAACCTGGAGCGTGATTTTGGTGTGAAAGCTGAAAGATCAGAGGAATAGAACAAGCCAGCCACAAGTTCTTACCACTAGAACATCCTCAGCCCAAGAGAGCTATTTTCTTATATACTGCATATATATATATATATATATATATATATATATATATATATATATATATATGAAAATATATATATATGCGTTATATACCTTCCTGTGCCCTGCTATCTTACTTCCTCTTTCCACCCAGCTACATCATTTCCTCTTTTTGCCCCAGTCTGTTACTTCCTGTCTGTCTGTACAGATTTACAGACCTCCATGTTTAACTAGTGCTGGGATTAAATGTATGTGCCACCATGCCTAGCTCTGTTACCAGTATGGCTTTGAATTCACAGAGATCGAGATGAATCTCTGCCTCCTGAATGTTAGAATTAACATACAGTGGCTGGCTTTGTCTTCTGATTCCCAGGCAAGTTTTATTTGTTAGAGCACAAATAAAATATCACCACAGGCAAATGTGCCTTTGGTAAATTATCATTCAAAACATTATTTAGTTTTATTTTTCATGCCTAATTAAATGATAGGTATTTATTAGTCTTTTTAAGTTAGTTTAGATTGAATGACCAAGCTGTCTGATGAACTAGCACCTCTCCTATTTGAGGAGGTCTCCCTGTTCAAATATAATCTTTATTAATCTTAATGGTTTCCATTGCCTTTCTTCTCCTGTAGAAACGAAGGAAAAACTTCTTCCCTAATGTAACACGTATCTCTGTTTTCATTCTGAGGTCTACACATCTTTAAAGTATACAGACTGATTTAATTCCATAGTTTTGTTATTATTATTATTATTATGCAGTGTCTCTCCACAGCTATCATTTCTTTTCATTAGCATTTGGAATATTCAAAGTTATTTAAGCACTGTGTAATCTATCTTAGGGTGTCTTTATTGCCCCCCATTTTTATTAAGTATATCTTTTAAAGGTACAATTAGATCTTTTTATATGTG